TTCATTCTGATTCTTCAGATGACTTTTTCATCTGAAGATGTTACGCTATAAAACTCAAGGAACTCAGCAGCAAAACAAAGCAAAATTCATGAAATCAAAAGCATCAATTCAGTCTTACCTTTGCTGGTTGTGGTCATAATAATCTATGTTATAGTAAAATAAAAACACTTGGTTCGTATTATCCTGTGTCCCAACATTCTTGGCTGTCTTGTGCTTTGTTTTACCTGCTGGAGAGTGTTTACAAATCTCTGATGCCACATTCCATCATTTTCCGGTTCTGCATAATAAAAAACTTCATGAAACTCAACTGCTCTACAACAAACAAAGAATGGTGAGCTAAAAAATTAATAATTTAAAATGGTGAACTTTGAGGAGTTTCCAGGTCTGGGTCAACATCCCGAGCTGAGCTGAGACTCTACCTGGTTTCGGTCGCAACACCTCTGCGCTCAAAGGTTCTCCTATTCTTTGTATTGCTGCATCCAGTGCGCATGCGCCAGTTAGCATAGGTCTATGGTAGAGATTGCAGCGCCCGAAAGCAACAGGAAATGTGTCACAAGATGATTTGGTCGTGGTAAAAGTGTGAAATAACATTTTTAAACTACACTTAAATGCAGGTTAAACACATATCTTATAGTCTGTATGATGTATAGATTGTTTTTGTTATTCTTCCTGTGAGACTGATGGGGCAGCGCCCTAGCACCTCCCTATGGACGAGCCGTCACTGGTCATTTTTAAAACTGTTTCATTTAACCAGATGAGTTGATTGAGAACTCTTTCTCATTTATAACGACAATCTGGCCAAGAGGCAGCAACAGACACATCCTGATGGTTTGGAGGAAAGTCATCACACACAACATTGAAGACAAATTTCACCACGACTCATGATTAGCTTAGCAAAGAAGGCTGTGTCCAAACTCAGGGGCTGCATCCTTCCAAAGCCAAAGTTTAAAGCCGGTCACATCACAGCAAAGCGTCAATGCAGTGCAGATTTGAAGGCCATTCAATATGTGTCTATAGGGGTATGGGTAAACCTTTGTTGACAGGGTAGGTTAGGGTTATGTCCTCGAAAAGGTCCTATCCCTGAATTTGTAAGCAGCCACAACCAGATTCCAAAATGTTTAAAATGAAACAAACATCTAAAATTGTGGCATTGGCACAGCTAAGAATGTTCTTAAGGAAAGAACATTTGTTTGGAACTACCATGACTGGAAACGAACAATTTCTCACATCTGTGCGTAAACTTTGTGTTCACATTCACTACCTAGATCTTTATCTGATGGTTGTCTACTTTCTAACACTCACACTTTGTTCACCAACTATACATGCAAATCTCAAACTGCGTGGTTCTGCAGCCGCCACACCGTCGGCAATGTCCAGCAGAGCAGGGAGACAGCTCATTTCACATCTCAGCTCTGCACTCTGCTGTTGTTAAAGCCTAATTAGCTGGATCGGTGACAGTCAACACAAAGTTATGATAAGCTGTCCGTTTACCAGGCCCTGGCTGACATAGGGACGGCGGCGGATGAAGTGGAACTCACCAACCTGACATCCCCGATGCTCTCTGCTTTCAGGGGAGGTCTGGACTCAATTTGTCTTGCCTTGTCTGCACCGCAGATCAATACCAATTGTATTACATGTGGAACTGAGCCAGACCAGTGTGCACCATCAGCACCTGCATACAGATGGATTGGTGTGGGAACACTGGCAGGGCAGTTGTTTTTTTCATCTTCATATCTAGGAGAAACACATTAATAGTGAAGGGATCCATCATAAGTCAATCCTCTTGTATATCAATCCCAAATTAGGTGTAATCGTATTGCCATTTGATTGAAAAGTCGATTTGAAATGTCTGCAAAGAGTTGTGAAGCTGAGTTCGGGGAGAAATATGAAAGAAAAAAAGGGATGGGAAAAGATTTGTGACTTTCTGAGTAAATTCTTCTGTAAAAAATTAAATAACCCATCGGATCACCCAACATTTACAGCACTGTGCAGCCAGATCTGGCTTTTAGATATACACTCACTGGCCACTTTATTCAATACACCTTGCTAGTACCAGGTTAAAGCCCTTTTTGCCTTCAGAACTGCCTTAATCCCAGAAGATCAGCAGTTTCTGAAATATTCAGACCAGTCTGTCTGGCACCAACAACCATGTCTCGTTCAGTCACTTAAATCACCTTTCTTCCCCATTCTGAAGCTCAGTTTGCCTGCAGTGGATTGTCTTGACCCTGTCTACATGTCTAAATGCATTGAGTTGCCACCAAGTGATTGGCTGATTAGTAGTTTGCGTTGCATTTGGAACGGTGTACCCAATAAAGTGGCCAGTGAGTGTACATAGGAATTCATGTTAAACAAATATGCTCGACTCAAATCCTGCAGGTCAAATGTTAATTTAAGCCACAAAATCTTATTATAACAATGAAAATGTTCTTTTAATGCATTTTTTAAAAATTAATCTCACTTATATTAAAATTACAATGATTAATCTGCTTCGTACTTTTGTCATAACACTGGTTCATCTCCTACATTTAGGGATTTTTTTTAATGTCTGAATGACTTAAGGGTCAGAAATACATTATTTGACAGAAAAATAAATAAAAACTCTCCTGTGAATGTGATTCGGTTCTGAATTAAAAATGAGTTTTTAAAGCAGCTAACAATTGAACCCTGAAGAATCTTTGATGGAAACTACTTTGGGAAATTACAGGAAAGTTTGGCTGTTATATGAAGCAAGGAGGTTAGGGAGGAATGAGGACTCGAACTGTGAAACTTTGACATTGAAGTTCCATAAATCCACTGGCCATAAGGATCACGCACTTTATTATAATAACTAGTGATTAATAACATTAATCAAGTGTTCCTGAGAGATGAAGGTCCTGGTTAAATAAACACTAATTGATAAATAAGTCACTGCCTGTGATCTAAATGATTACCACTTTGCACTTGTGCACTTATGCATAACAATAAGTATTCAGGAGCGTGTAATTTTTCTGTTTTACCAGAGTTAATGTTAACTTAATTCACAATTTAAAACAAAGGAGATTTAAGGTAATGGTTGCAGCTTTTTACAAGGACCTTTAAAGTATTTGCCATCTACTGTCACGTTTTCCTGAGGTACTTGGATTAAAAACAAGCCTCTTTTTACTATGAGCATAATATCATAGTACACTGAACACAAACTGCTTCATTTCATAAGGTTTTGAAGCTGATTGCAGATGGCATGTTGCTACAATTAAGTTTTTGTTTTAATTTCAACCTCAGGACGCTGAGACTTTGGACAGCAAAGGCAGAAAAAGCAATAAGCAAGTGGACACAGCAGTAGTTACATAAAAGCCAGAGCTCTGAGTCTGACAGTGTCAGGTAAAATCAGACAGTTTTATTCAGGCATAAACAAACATTCACTCTGTTTCAGTGCAGCGCGGCTGCTCAAGGACACGAAGGAAAACAAGCAAAACTTAGAAAAGGGCTGATTCTCCGTTCTGTAGCAAAAGGCAGGGTGGTAAATCAGATGTTGGAGACTACACACAAAGAAGGAGGTGTGCAATTATAGAGTTTCACATTGTCCTTGGCTCAGTTGCAGGAGATAGCTGTAGATTACACGATTAACAGGATTACAATGTATTTCAGAGAAAGGCCTGAATGACAGCGATGATGAGTCACTGCCTGATTACCACAGCACCCAAAGGTCTCCTCACATTATCAGAAACTGGTTCTCATGTGACTATTCCTCCTGGTGCTCTGAATAAAAGAAAGTGTAATAGCTTAAGCTGTATTTTAGAAGAGGGGAAACTGCTGAGCATAGCAGATTTTGTGTGAGCTCATTACCAATGAATGATCAATACCTATTAGTTTGGAAAGCTGTTAATTAATTCTTGTTTCTGCAGCTGCGCCTGATGAGAGCAGGCATCCATGTGAGACATGAGAAGACGTGATCATGTTTTTTACTTCACTGTTAGAAAGTTTATTTAAAAGTGGCTGAAATCCTTTCTGCTTGTGTCTGTATGCTGGGAAGCTGCAGCAGAAGGTTGAAACCACTTTTATCCCTGAATCAATCAGAAACTTTTCTTTTGTCTGTGTGTTTTATCCCATTAGCTCTATCTCTCCTTATTACCGTTTTACCCAGTCAGAGTCGATTGCAGTGAAACACTTTCCTCTCGGCAGCAACTCATGATCCTGAGTGACTCAACATAGACTTCATTTAAAGCCAGTTGGCTCAATTACCTGAATTTAACTCATCTACTTATTAAAGTATTTAAATGCAACTATACAACCATGCCTGAAGAAACAGGATGTAATTCATTCATAATATTATTTTTGTGAGAACGGTTTTTTTTATATCTGCTGTGGTGTTGGTCTTTTTGTCTTTATTTGGCTTTAATAGCATTTTGATACAAAGTATTCACACAATACTCTTCTTTCAATCTCCGTTGTCAAAGGTGGAATGTGTAAGACAGAAGTAAGAATGACATCTTGTGGTCAAATTTGGGTACTGCACACAATTCTTCTAAATAAAAAGTCACTTTCTCACAACCGTTCCATGACTTTCATGGCTGTTACAAGTTACGGATCAACACACACTAAAAACAGTTGGGTTAAAAATGACCCAATTTGGGCTGTTTTTTAACCCAGCCGCTGGAGCAATATTGCACCAGCCCAGCAGTAGTTAATTTAACCCAGCAAGATGGGTTCCTCCATTTTAACCCAGCAGATGAGTTAAATATTCCACCCAAATTCTGGGTCAAAATAGCCACAAATCTGGGTAAATTCAACCACACATACGTGTTATTTACTCTATCTAAATGCTGGGTCAAATTAACCACTATTTTGGGTTGTTTCAACTAAATATGTGTTATTTACTCTACCTAAATGCTGGGTCAAATTAATTAAACTATGGGTTGTTTAAACAACATAATGTTCAGTAATCAATCCAAATGTTTGGTCAATACGCCAAATTATTTCTAACTCATTACATACAGTGCATTTTGGAAGACAGAAAATTGCACCTCTCCATACTCAACTATCAAAACATACATGCTAGACTTGGTCACGTAAAGCATATACAATACAATAAAACTTCAACAATACTGAAATCTTTACAAGGCACTGCCTTGAAATTTATTCATATAAATGTAAACAACATAAAAGTTCCAATCACTTCACATCAAGAACTGCAACAATGTACACTGAAATACATGTAACTCAGTGCTTAAAAAACAACATTTAAATGGTCAAGAGTACATTTTACAAATACCTATTTGCTTCTTTTGCTAGCACGTATTCTACTCTGCAGAAACTTTACTAGTTTCAACTCCCCTCCTGGGATTTCATAGATGGTGGTGTAGCGTTATGCAGCGTTTGCAGGAATTTCCAGACGTGTTCACACTGCCTCGGGTATTCAATGTCTAAAATAAAGAATGCCTTGAAGCAGGCATCGACGGCCTGAAGCAGTGTGTCATGTTCCACAGCCTGACCAGCAATGATGACAAAGGCCTGAGACACATGCTGCGTATCATTTCCCAATGTCAGCACATAGGGGAATGGTCTTGTGGCCTTGGCCTCGTGGAGGTATTCCACCATGTTGGTTCCAGGCTAAAAAACAGAGAAAGAAAGCATAACAAAAAACAGATGAGAAGGAATGCGTGAGTAAGGAACAAATGTCTACCAACGTCAACTGGGTGACAGTGGCACAGGAGTTAAGTGCTTGCCCCGTAATCGAAAGGTTGCGTGTTTAAGCCCCGCTCAGTTTATCGCTGTCATTGTGTCCTTGGGCAAGACACTTAACAACCCCCCCCCCCCCGCCTTTGTCAGTACGCACCAGGGCAGCTAAGGCTACCCAGTGTGTGAATGTGTGTGTGAATGGGTGAATGACTGTGTTGTAAAGTGCCTTGGGGGGTTCAGGGCTCTATAAGATGCTATATCAAATAAAGGTTATTTATCATTTAACTAGTACAGCAGAATAAAAAAAGACATTATGACAAGCATTTTCCTGGTCCTCACAAGAAATATTTAAAGAGCAAAATGCAGGTTAAAGACTCCCAGGAACCAATGTTTAGAGAAATACAATAGAAACTTGTTCCAATTTTTTTACACATATATAATTTGGACTTTTAGAGTCATTTTTGTGAGATTTTATTTTTGTTTTGCCAAACCAAGTGACGTTTGCTGAGGGAGTCCTGTTAGTTTAATCTAGCGATGCACCAATTTGAAAAATTTTGGGCCGATGCCAATATCCGATATTAAGATCACGGTTATGGCCGATAACCGATATTTGCCGATACCAATATACTGGCATTAATGCTTCTAAAATCAGATTTTGTATAGAATGAAAATTTTTAAAGCTGAATTTACGTTATGTACACACCACACACACATTTACAGTTCTGAGATGATTTCATTCACTGTTCACATGACTAAACAATCACACATCACCCCCCCCCCCCCCCCCCCCCCACTCTCTGAAACAGGCAAACAAATGGAGACAAGATGGAAAAAATATTGGTTGTTAATATCGGCCCGGTTTTATTTATCGAACCGATATCGATATGTAAAAAAAATGACTACCTTCGGCCGATACCGATATTCATCCCCTGTTTAATCCGGAGAAAAATCTGGATTCTAATGCGGTTCTGACACAGAGGAAACTTTAAATGTTTATAATTCTACTTCTAATGGACCAAAACCATACAGCAAGGTCTGAATGGATTAAAACACAAAAGTGTTAACTTCTGAGTCAGTATGGTGTGGCAACGAGGCGATCATTCAGTGGCACTGCAGCCTTGTTTTAAAAGCATAAGATGTTTTTAAAGTGACCAACACAAGCTTGTAGATGACTTGACAATATTTGGAGGTATAGAATAACAAATTTGGATATGCGTGCGTGTGTGTGTGTGTGCGCGCGCGTGCGTGTGCGTCTGCGCACACACATTCATGAGCCAAAGAATAACAGGTATATGTTAATGAAAAGATAAAAGTTTGCCTTTAGATGTACTGGAAGACTTACAGGTTTATGGTGGATGAAGGCCAAGTTACATTCTTCAATGGTGTGGCGAACCATTATAGCACTGTGGCCACGGCCGAGTTTGTAAGCAGTTGGAGGGAGCAAGCATGGCAACTGCCTCAGGCTGAGTTCACCAATGGCATCTGTTGAAGACAATATAGGTGAGAATATAATGTGGAATGGCATACATGTGATTTGTCATTTGGTATCCAAATAACATGAAACCTATGGTAACAGTTACATGCAGCCAATTCCCACCCTGTGGATGGTTATAGTGACATGTCTGTCGCGAACAAAATGGCTCTCAGAGCCAGCTCGTTGATGTGACCGATAGGAGCCGACTCCCTCCTGCAGGAGCCGGAGAGAATGACACAGACTGTACCTGCAGGCTCTAGAGCCGCTAAAAGACTGCAAAATGTGCGCATGTGGTACGCGCGCACCAACACGCACCATACCTCTGATTGCTGTGAGACAAGGAGGAAGGGGGTGGTGAGGTTGTGGCGCACCTCCGACCACTCTGAAAGCAGGGAGAGGGATGGCACGCACAAATTGCCAGGGACAACTACTACACTGAACAAAAATATAAATGCAACACTTCTGTTTATGCTCCCATTTTTCATGAGCCGAACTCAAACATCTGAAACCTTATCTACATACACAAAATACCCATGACTCTCAAATACTGTTCTGAAATCTGTCTGCGTGTGTTAGTGAGCACTTTTCCTTTAACAAGATAATCCATCCCACCTCACAGGTGTGGCATATCAAGGGGCTAACTAGACATTATGAATAATGTGCAGGTGTGCCTTAGACTGGGATTGGGATTATCTTGTTAAAGGAAAAGTGCCCACTAACACACATGTGGACAGATTTCAGAACAATATTTGAAAGTCATGGGTATTTTGTGTTTGTAGATAAAATTCTAGGTGTTTGAGTTCAACTCATGAAAAATGAGAGCAAAAACAGAAGTGTCGCGTTTATATTTTTGTTCAGTATACATTAAAATGATAGGACCAGTAAACATTGGTGGAGACATATCTGTAAGAGACGAGCACTGCACAGTTTCCCCTACAATGGCTCAGATGTGGTGCTGCGCCACATGCGCTATTACAGAAAGTCCATCACAGCCCAGGTGAGTAATGTGCCCATCAGGTAGACTAGGGGTCTTGTTGCAGGCTTTCGACACCAGTTGGACTAAAATAGCCTAGTGAGGGAGACCAGCCTCATTGGGGAAACCTTACATTGACACAAACCATATTGACAATTGCAAAGATGGCAAGCAAGAATATATTACCTTGTGTTAACCCATCCAGGGACGAGATCAGCTTTCCCTCCCGTCTTGACAGGTACAGGATTTTCTCCGCATAAATGGGTAGCCAAGTTTCAAACAACTTTGATGAAGCATCCCCATGCAGGATAAGAAAGTCCTGTGCAATGTACAAAATAGGAAACCTTTTTTAAACAAATTCAATGTGGCATACTAATAAAAAAAACAATCATCGTCATCACATGTTAATTATTATTTCTCTAAACGTACCATGCCTTTGCTCATTAGGTGAGGGAATTCTTGGAGGATCTGGTAGATGGTCCAATTGTTGTCCCTAATGCACTTGGCCCTGTAGACTGCAGTGTCTTGCATGTAGTCCTGTACCTGACTGAGGGGCTGGCAATTGTTTCTTCACCATTCTTTAAGCTGTGATGCGCGCTCGTCAGATATGGTACACTGTTAAAAAAAACACAAGAATTTGATTCTGACATGCAAACACATACATGATGAAAAATTTTGAACACGTAGATTCCAGTTATTGGGTGAACTTTTTAAAGGGGTCATCACCTGAAATGTTTACCTTTCTATGTTAAAACATGTATATAATGGTTTGATAATGATTGTACACTGGCCTAGAAGCCAATATTTAAAAGAGATTATATATAATCTGAATATTTGTGCTGACTATCCACAACAGAATGATAGTAAAAGTACAAGTAACATTTTTAGATCTATTTGTGTCCCCCCCCCCCCCCCCCCCAACTATTATCAACATCTCATTCATTGAAAACATTTCCATACTGTTTTCAAAGTACTTTATTTTTTCTTCTTAATTTCAAATCCCTTATATAATATATGTAGGGAAGACGTGCCTAAAATGATTTAGCTTGAATGTATCTGAAACAACAACCGCAGCATCTAGTCTGAGTCAGAATCTTCTTTGGGTTTAGGATGAACCTGTCTAATTACTGGGAAACTTGTTTTTGACCCAACACTTGAACTCAACTCACCCCCCAAAAAAGAACACAAGCCTCGGGAAACATCAGTTTAGGCTGAACGTGAAAGGAGAAAACCCTGCAAAAGTTCTTCATAGAATACTGTAGTATTTGGAGAGGATTTTGTTTGACTTACGAACTTCAAGCTCCAACCGCTGTGAGATGTTGAAGCAGCAGTAGGAGCAGCACAGCGATACCGGCTACCGCAGTGTTTTGCCTAGCTATCTCCGTGACTGTATTTGATCAAATGACGACTCATGACCCACTAACAAAGGTGGTTTGTGAACAGGATGAACACTCCTCCTTTTTCTGAAACCGATTCTTATAGAGAGCGACTGAAACCCGACCAAAGACTCACGTGAACGTTATATTTGGCTTCATAAACGGCAGTTTTCGCCGAAAAGCGTCAAATTTGCAAGTGTGAGATGAATGTATTTTAAACCCACGTCAATACTAACCAAATTTAAGACTTTAATAAGTCGATTTAAGACATTTTAAATACTTTAAGCGTCTTAATTTTCCTTTCATCTCCTTTACCCAGCCGGGAGCTAGCTGGGAGCAATTTCCCGCTCCTCCCCCACACCCCACGACTGTTTCATTAGCCACAGACTACTCATTAGTTCAAATGCAAAGTACAGAAGTTCCACTGGATTTTTTAATGTAAAAAAGTAATCAGAATAGCAGTTTATGAACGACACAGATAAGCTACTGACACTAGAAAAGGCTAAAGACAACCGCTAAATGGCTAGCTAGCTACATTGTTACCCAAACCAACCAACAGAGCCTCAACAACATTCAGATACCAACAGGTAACGCGGCACAGACGTGACGGGAATCAGATAGTAAACACAAACAATACAAACCTCTTATTGTTCATTTACCTCGCAACGAGGATGTTTTCCCCCACTCAGATCGAAGACAAAATGGATCCTGGCGTTGCGTTGTGGAGGATGACTGTAGATGTAATGATGTTCAAACCGGTTCAAACAAGTACAACAACCCAGGTGCTGGGTCAAGTTGCACTAAAATAACCCAAATCTCATTCAAATAACCCAAAATGGGTTACACATTTCATAACCCAGCAGTTGAGTAGATTAAATAACCCAACTGTTGCACAAAAATAACCCAAATCTCATTCAAATAACCCAAAATGGGTTACACATTTCATAACCCAGCAGTTGAGTAGATTAAATAACCCAGCAGTTTTTAGAGAGCAGAGTCATACATTTGATAAGTAGATAGATACATTGCCTGGTGCTAGCAACCTTGGGTGTTTACGGTAGAGAAAACCTACTAACTTATTACGGAAAACCTACTACACTTATTACGGTAATATATGTCGGGATTAGAGGAAGTGCTGTTGGCCAACTTGCTGTTAGCTTACTGCTATAGTTATGAACAACTCATTAAAGGAAGTAAAACACCATGATTGACTCATTATTCACTTCACACATGCATTTCACTGTAATGTGGTAATTGAAAAGGTAGCTTGTGATACTTTTGGAGTCAACTAATTACTTCTGATTCACTGTTAGCTTTGTTAGCTCAATGTTAGCCTCTAACCTGCTTCATTTGTTATTAGAGTAAAACAAAAAGATGTCGTGGCTTCTTTGGGGTACAAGAAATAACTTCTGGGTCATTCCTGTTTACTAGCTTTGGTTCTTTAATGGGGACTAGGCAGTTTGGCTTACTTTTAGTACCCCCTAGTGTCTGTTTTTAGAACCAAAAGCTAAACCTCCTAGCTGGGCGTTCGTCTTTAACACCTTAATCTAACAGCTGAAATGTCTCCTCAGCACTCATTAGAATCTAAAGTAGTTATTCATCACTAAATTAAACAAATCAGCTGTGTTCATGATCTAAAACATGCTGGAAACATGCTGGAAGCAGATTGCAGCTCCAGGTATATCAGCTCCATTTTCATCCCAACAGAGCGGCCAGTCTGAAGTTGCAAGTGGAATGTTCTGGCCACAGATAGACAGCATAGATTCTGGATGGCCTTTCATTAACCTCGCAAAGGATCATTTTAGCACATACTGGTTCAAGAAACTGATTAAAATTTTTGGAAAAGTTGCTAATTTAAATTACTCAGAGGAAAAAAAAGTTCTTTATTTTCATCTAAATCAATCTTAGGTGTGTATGTGATGGTCTGCTACTTGTCCAGGTTTAACACCACCTCTCTCTTGACACTGGCTCTCTGTAACCCTGACCGTGTATCAATTGATGTTTTTTTGATTAACCCTCTGGAGGCAGGCATTGCAGATTTGCAACGTTAAACCCTACCTACCTGGTTACTCCACATACGTATTTCATGAGCATTTTTTAACTCAGAAGTACCCCTGAAGGACTTGGTTGTTCGTCCTTTTATCAAAACTTATTTAGAGCCTGTGAGGGTTCATTTTATTTCAGACAAATCCTAATCAGTTTTATTGACCATGACCCTATTTTTATGCACTTACAAGAATGAATCACACGATGTGTCATAATCAAGACAATGATGACCATAAAATGAACTTTATAAACCATCAGATGGCATTGCAACAATTGAATTACAGAATGTAGCCTCGTTGGTTCAGGCATCTGAAATCATCACTTTAATCTTTACGTTTGTGTTTTTCTCTGGTTAAAGTTCAAATTCTATCGGTCTCACAAATTAGTTGCAGGTGACTGATTTCATCTTTAATCCACGCTGTAATCCCTGTGGTCTAATCTCACTCATTTGTGCTTTTTGTTTACTCAACCGTGAGTTCATTTTCCATAATCAATTTGGTTTAGCTGATTATTTCCATCAGAACACCACAGAGAAAACAACCTTACACTGACTGTAGTTTAAAGGGCCACCCAGACCAAGTTTGTTCCCAGTTTTAAGGAAAAATGTGAGATGAGAGTTGTTTCGTAATTCTTTTTTCAATGACAGCTGAATATCATTCATTAGGACAGCAGTGTCAGGGGATGTGGTCTGCCGAAGCGCTGACTAGCCAAACTTCAGCTCGCTCGCTGACAACTTTGTTGCCATCAGAGCCAGGCTGTGATAGATGAGCAGGTAGGGGACACAGGGGGGCAATGGACCAGAAGTTTGGACAGTTTCAGCAACCACCATCACTTTGGGACTTATGAGGACTCTACGTCCTTCAGGAGTAAAACACATAACACAAATAAAAACAATCCCTTCACCTGGTACAGTATACAATGTCTCTTTAACAAGAGCACACATGCAACTCTTAGTTTAGGACACAGAAAACATTTTAAACTATTTCTTTTTACGTTTAACAACAGAAGGCTAAAATCAGTATTGCGTCATCTACTGTGGAGTCATTAAAACCCAGCGAAAATTAGTTATTGTTTTGTTGTCAGGTTGGCTGCATAGTATGGGTGATGTGTGGCGTTCCTAAGGTGTGCCCTGTCCATCTGGGGAGTCTCGGTCATTTATGCCTACCAAATCCTGACGTGGTCCAAGAAAGACGTGCCCTGACTGGGCTTGTGGTTCGGTATTGTCACGATCTGCCCCTGCCCTCCTGACAGTCTCTCTCCTGCCCTGATTAGTCCGTATTGTTTTCACCTGTCCCTCGTTAACCTGCCCACGTGTTCCCAATCAGCCTTGTGTATTTATACCACCTGTTTTGCTCCTGTCCTTTGTCAGATCATTGTTGTTTCAAGTCATCGTTGTGTTTGTTCCTGCCGTTCCCGTTCTGTGATTAAAATCCGTTTTTACTTTATCCGAGCCTGCATCTTTTCCTCCTGAACCCTCCACCACACTTGGTCCGCCATCTCCACACCCCACACGTGACAGAATGATCTGACCAACCTGGACCTGTGGTGAGCTATCATCTGTTTTTGGAGGATTATTTTTTCTTTTTCTCTTTTTTCAGTGGAGGGAGATTACGGCCTGAGGGGCTTCGGCGCATCCTACAGGTTTTCGGGGTGGTCGGGCCCGTTTGGGAGATTTTGGCGCATCCTACCTGTTTTCGGGGTGGTCAGAATCATTTCTCCTCTCCTGCTGTTTCGCCCTGTCCTGTTTTTTCCCACGGAAGCTGCGGATCCTGGAGTTTTGGTGAGATAAAACACCCTACGCACGCCAACGTTCTTCGGGGTGGTAGGGCTGGACTTCCTGCTCCATTCCTACTTCCCTTCACCCGAGCCTCCGCTGATGGAACCAGCTGGATCGTGATGTGCACCTGCTCAGTTTGTCGAGTACCTGCCGCCGAGCTGTGTTTCCTCGCGTCGCTCCTGCAGTCCCATCCACTTCCTGGTCCACGCCTGCGGCTTCTACGCCTGCAGGTCCTTCTGGCTGCAGCCTTTTCAGCGTCCTGCTCTGCCACCCAGGACTGAACTCAAAGAGCCCTCAGAAGCCAGAGTTGTGCCGCCTATATCAGAGGCCCCTGCTCTGCCGACCCAGTGTTCGAGTTTCCAGTGTCCGAGTTCCTGAGTCTACGTGTCCAAGTGTTCCTGTGTCCCGAGTCAAGTGTTCCTGTGTCCCGAGTCAAGTGTTCCTGTGTCCCGAGTCAAGTGTTCCTGTGTCCCGAGTCAAGTGTTCCTGTGTCCCGCGTTCAAGTGTGTCCCGAGTTCAAGTGTCCCAGTTCCCCCGAGTCCTCCGAGTCCAAGTGTCCCAGTTCCCCGAGTCCTCCGAGTCCGAGTGTTTCCAAGTCTCCTGAGTCGTGTTCCGAGTCCCTGTCATGTGTTTCCAGTCGAGTCCGTGTTCCAGTCAAGTCTTCGAGTCCCAGTCTCCAGTCAAGTCAAGTCTTCCCAGTCTCCAGTCAAGTCAAGTCTTCCCAGTCTCCTGTGTTGTGTGGCCTTGTGGGCGTCTTGTATCCGCCCCTTGAGGGGGGGGGGGTACTGTCACGATCTGCCCCTGCCCTCCTGACTGTCTCTCTCCTGCCCTGATTAGTCCGTATTGTTTTCACCTGTCCCTCGTTAACCTGCCCACGTGTTCCCAATCAGCCTTGTGTATTTATACCACCTGTTTTGCTCTTGTCCTTTGTCAGATCATTGTTGTTTCAAGTCATCGTTGTGTTTGTTCCTGCCGTTCCCGTTCTGTGATTAAAATTCGTTTTTACTTTATCCGAGCCTGCATCTTTGCCTCCTGAACCCTCCACCACACTTGGTCCGCCATCTCCACACCCCACACGTGACAGGTATGATTGGTACCATACCTGGGAGGGGGGTGGATTATTGTGGGAAAATTTTGCTGACATTGCAAATAAAGGGAAACATAATTAAAACAGTTTCTGACTACGTTGACAAGAAAGCTTTCTTGACTTCTGCATGACTGTCTCAGTCTGTTGCTGTCATGGTTTTCTCTCTTTGAAAATATTTGACCTACATACAATATGACTCTCAAGAGACCAGGAGATGTAGTAAAAATAGTTTATTAGAGGTGAGCGGAGGCAGGGATGGGCTGGTTCTGGAGCTAGAGATTGGATCACTGGAAGAAATTACACAAGAAATGATGATCGGGACGGGGAGATATTGATATTGATAGTGGGGAGAGTTCTTACTGAGATTTGGTTGTAGCAGAGCGTGGTTCCGGGCTCGGCCGGCTTGAGGGTGGGAGGCTGCGGGCGGGCCTGTGGACTTGATATCCCCCGGGACTCTTCCGGCTGCTGGTTGTGGCCCCTCGGGGCAATCCTCTGCGCCTCTCCTCCTGCTTGCTGTATAGTTAGTTCTCGTTTTCTTAATGAGAGCACAGCTAGCACTTTTTCTGCTGCTTTTGATCCACCCTGTTCTTCTGATAACAACCCAGATTCCTTAACTTCTCAGTTTAACGAG